TATGTCGTGTTAACTAATTCCTCTCAGTCAGTGTTCTCACATGTTGTACCGTGGTGTGTTTTTAAAGTTTCCGTGTGTCCAGTGAGGTCTGAGCCAGACCTGAGTAGCACCAATGTGCTAAGTCACCCGATGTGACCAGTGCGTATGACAGCTGATGTCACGACAGCCCCGAGTGACCGAGCCCTCTTGTACAGAAAGCTTTTATGCTCGTCGCTTGTGATGTTCTGCAGAATCGTACCTGCTACGATTCCCATCGAGATTTGTTTCACTTCACCTCCAGACCGTCAGAGTGCAGTTATATGTAGAGAAACAAGTCTGGGGACGCTTAGACTAACCTCTGCTATAACTCCAACTGCCGAGAGAATGATACTCGCCAAGCCGCAGTTAGCCACTGTCGGCAGGCGCTGTGTCAGCCTCGTGTCACAAGCTTCAGTGAGCAGCCTGCACAAAGAAGATGTCACTTTGACTGCTAGCTCTCTCACTGCAGTCTGGTGTATGATGTTACGACTCCCAGATGTTTCGCCCAGTCGTCTCTGCCACGACTCACTCCACAACTCGCTCCACGCTCGCCGGCAGTGACAGCCCAGTGACAGTACCAGTCGAGAAGTGCCCTCCTGAGTCGCTTGCCAGAAGTCCTGCCCAGTTGCCGAGTTTTGTCGACGCCTCACTCGAGGGCACCAGTATGTCGTGCCCCAGGTTGAGTGAAAACCTGCAGCAACTCCTACGATGTCTGCTTCACCGTTCCAGAGGAGACCGTACCCTGTTACGTCACAGCTCAGCGGCAGCGATGTCTCCCTCGTTGCAGTATCTGTCCAGACGCAGGAAGGCGTGCAGTGATGCCCATCGACGCTCACTGAATATGACCACGATGTTTAGCACACCCCACATGTTTTTTTCTTCCCTCCCTGTAGGAAGTTTTTTTCCATGTCCATATGTATATATATGTTTTTATTTTGTGTTCTCTGCCCTGTTCCTACGAGAGAGAGACCGAGCTCCTTTTACCATCAGTATTGTCGCGTCGGGACGACGCGCGGTAGGTGGCCGAGCGTATGTAGACAGCCTGTACTGTCTGTGCAGACAGCCCATGCTGTCTGCCAGCTTAGTTCATATTTCGCGCCACTCAGATGCTGCCCTCTGTAGCCAGGCCTCTCGGTAGGCACGCCAGCCTGTCTGCCCTTGCCTCGCCCTCACTCACACAGCGGCCGAGCAGCAAGACACAAGGCCTGCTCCTAGCTCTCTCTCGTGGGATGGCCCTGCCCGGGCCATGGGCACAAACACACAAGCCTGTGTACCCACCACGACATTAACAATAAATGAAGAAGCCTCCGAAGAAGTTTATCATTCACACCCCACTTTCAGCTCTACCAAACAAACCCATTAAACAAGTGTGAAAATTAGGAAAAGGTGTGGAGTTAATAAAAGTATTAGTCAGAGGGCTGAGGAGGGTTTGTTGAGGTGGTTTGGTCATTTAGAGAGAAAGGATCTAAGTAGAATGACATGGAGAGCGTATAAATCTGTAGGGGAAGGAAGGCGGGGTAGGGGTCATCCTCGAAAAGGTTGGAGGGAGGGGGTAAAGGAGGTGATGTGGGCGAGAGGTCTGGTCTTTCAGCAAGCATGCTTGAGCATGTTAGATAGAAGTGAATGGAGACGAATGGTATTTGGGACCTGACAAGCTGTTGGAGTGTGAGCAGGGTAATATTTAGTGAAGGGATTCAGGGAAACCAGTTATTTTATATAATCGGACTTTAGTCCTGGAAATGGGAAGTACAATGTTGCCTGCACTCTAAAGGAGGAGTTTGGGATATTGGCAGTTTTGGAGGGATATATTGTGTATTTTTATATGTATATACTTCTAAACTGTTGCATTCTGGGCACCTCTGCAAAAACAGTGATAGTGTGTGAGTGAGGCGAGTGTTGAATGATGATGAAAGTATTTTCTTTCTTTTTGGGTCACCCTGCCTCGGTGGGAGACGGCCGACTTGTTGAAAAAAAAAAAGTTATTTATTTATTTATTATCTCACTGGCCGATTCCCACCAAGGCAGGGTGGCCCGAAAAAGAAAAACTTTCACCATCATTCACTCCATCACTGTCTTGCCAGAAGAGTGCTTTACACTACAGTTTTTAAACTGCAACATTAACACCCCTCCTTCAGAGTGCAGGCACTGTACTTCCCATCTCCAGGACTCAAGTCCGGCCTGCCGGTTTCCCTGAACCCCTTCATAAATGTTACATGACATATCCACTGCCTCCAGCCTTCTCCTCACTGCAACATTCATCACCCATGCTTCACACCCATATAAGAGCGTTGGTAAAACTATACTCTCATACATTCCCCTCTTTGCCTCCAAGGACAAAGTTCTTTGTCTCCACAGACTCCTAAGTGCACCACTCACCCTTTTCCCCTCATCAATTCTATGATTCACCTCATCTTTCATAGACCTATCCGCTGACACGTCCACTCCCAAATATCTGAATACATTCACCTCCTCCATACTCTCTCCCTCCAATCTGATATCCAATCTTTCATCACCTAATCTTTTTGTTATCCTCATAACCTTACTCTTTCCTGTATTCACTTTTAATTTTCTTCTTTTGCACACCCTACCAAATTCATCCACCAATCTCGGCAACTTCTCTTCAGAAGCTCCCAAGAGCACAGTGTCATCAGCAAAGAGCAACTGTGACAACTCCCACTTTATGTGTGATTCTTTATCTTTTAACTCCACGCCTCTTGCCAAGACCCATCTATAAATATATTAAACAACCATGGTGACATCACACATCCTTGTTTAAGGCCTACTTTTACTGGGAAATAATTTCCCTCTTTCCTACATACTCGAACTTGAGCCTCACTATCCTCGTAAAAACTCTTCACTGCTTTCAGTAACCTACCTCCTACACCATACACCTGCAACATCTGCCACATTGCCCCCTATCCACCCTGTCATACGCCTTTTCCAAATCCATAAATGCCACAAAGACCTCTTTAGCCTTATCTAAAGAGGTCTTTGTAATATAATATAGGTAATAACGTAATATACGACATTTAATGAGACTCCATGATCATCATCATCATTACTAATACGACGTCTCGAGATATTAAACACTCTTACTGATTTTAATGTGTACCTGCATGCCAGCACAGTATGTAAGTTTATTTAGGTACAGGTATACATAAGTATAATTATCAGAGTACATATAAAATATAAAATAGCTTTTAAAAACACTTGAAATTCTGGAGTTTCCAGACATAATGGAGAGACTTAGTGCTTATGGATCTCACAGCTAATGTAAACAAACCGGGTGGGGCACGGTGACCGTATTAGAAAGTCAGGTGGGGGGAGCCATATAGAGTTTTCTGGTCATAATTTGAAACGACCGTATTAGCGGAACACCATAAAGCGGGGCCCTACTGTACAGTACTACAGTGGTACCCCGAGTTTCAGCCACAATTCATTCCAGACGGCTGTTCGAGTGCCGTTACCAAACGAATTTTTTCCCATAGGGAAAAATGTAAATTAGATTAGTCCGTTTCAGACCTCCAAACATACATTAAGACTACAAATGTTTTAAGGTAAGTAATGAATGTACTGTGTATTTCCTTTTTGTGTTTTTTAATGCCTAGTTTTATTACTAACTTAATGCAAGTTCATGCAAACTTCTTGTCTGGCATTTATATGCATTTATTAGTGGAAGAGAATGGCACTCTGCTTTCCGGCAATATAAACTGGAACCTAACCTGCCATACAAGCAGAGCTCTACTGTACAAAAGAAACGAAGGTTACTATTTTAACAACTCTTACCTTTCACACACTGCTGGTTGCTTCCTTAGAGTTCCACATTTTCCATCTGCAAAGATTTCTCTTAATAAACACTTCAAAACTACAAAAATAATAATCAAGTTTTACTTCAGATTAAATTCATTAATATCTTGCTTCTTGGCAATCTTAAGGTGTCTTAAGGCAGTTGCAATATCATACAAGGTGTCCTAAGGCAGTTGCAATATCACCAAGGTGTCCTAAGGCAGTTGCAATATCACGCAAGGTGTCCTAAGGCAGTTGCAATATCACGCAAGGTGTCCTAAGGCAGTTGCAATATCACGCAAGGTGTCCGCCGAAGGCAGTTGCAATATCACGCAAGGTGTCTAAGGCAGTTGCAATATCACGCAAGGTGTCCTAAGGCAGTTGCAATATCGCACAAAATGTAAGTTTTACAATCAATTATACAGCATTTTATCCAAACACCAAAGATTTAGCTTCAAATTATTCCTATAAGAGTTATTTTAATAGCAGTGGATAACCAAATTCATTAACAGCAATCACACATTAGTAACAGGTCTTTTAAAATTATCAATAACAACATTAAGATAATGCAATATAATCAGGCTTTCTCTGAAGGTCGGTAGCCCAAATTCCATGGATGAAGAGCCGTTGACCGATATCAAAACATACTACAGGGGATGAGTTGGGAAGAGCTATACCCAAAGGGGCCATGATGCCTGGATGGCAATACTGAATGACAAATGAAGGAAGGTTAGATCCAATATCATGGAACAAGAGCTTCTCACTAACATCAAGTAATGCCTTGAAGGGCCCTTGATAGAAGAAAAACATGACGAATCCCAATAAACAAGACCCGGAATCTCCTGTGTTGTAGAGGGAACACTGGAAGAACCTATAATTAAGTCATTGGAGGGAACACTAGAAAACCTATGATTTATTCATCAAAGGAAACGCTACCAGCTTGCTCATCATTGTTCATGGAACGCTGGGAAAATGGTTTAATTATCATATGTAAGCCAAATTTACCAATCGTAGCATATTCAATAGACTATAATTATGATATGGGTCAACACAAGCCACACTGGCCTCAATGGCCCATTTCTGTGTAACAGTGAAATTGTTTAGTAACTATGGTATATACTAGTATTCATGGAATATGCTAGTATCTACTATGATGAACATCAATGATTCAACATCATTTAAAGAACAACTCTTACCTTGCACACATTATTGGTTATTCCTGAGTGTTCCACACATTTTATCTGAAAAAAAAATTGTCTGTTAATAAACACTTCATAACTACCAAAGTAATCATATTCTTATTTTATTATTATTTATTATCACACTGGCCGATTCCCACCAAGGCAGGGTGGCCCGAAAAAGAAAAACTTTCACCATCATTCACTCCATCACTGTCTTGCCAGAAGGGTGCTTTACACTACAGTTTTTAAACTGCAACATTAACACCCCTCCTTCAGAGTGCAGGCACTGTACTTCCTATCTCCAGGACTCAAGTCCGGCCTGCTGGTTTCCCTGAACCCCTTCATAAATGTTACTTTGCTCACACTCCAACAGCACGTCAAGTATTAAAAACCATTTGTCTCCATTCACTCCTATCAAACACGCTCACGCATACCTGCTGGAAGTCCAAGCCCCTCGCACACAAAACCTCCTTTACCCCCTCTCTCCAACCTTTCTTAGGCCGACCCCTACCCCTCCTTCCTTCCACTACAGACTGATACACTCTTGAAGTCATTCTGTTTCGCTCCATTCTCTCTACATGTCCGAACCACTTCAACAACCCTTCCTCAGCCCTCTGGACAACAGTTTTGGTAATACCGCACCTCTTCCTAACTTCCAAACTACGAATTCTCTGCATTATATTCACACCACACATTGCCCTCAGACATGACATCTCCACTGCCTCCAAGCCTTCTCCTCGCTGCAACATTCATCACCCATGCTTCACACCCATTATAAGAGCGTTGGTAAAACTATACTCTCATACATTCCCTCTTTGCCTCCAAGGACAAAGTTCTTTGTCTCCACAGACTCCAAGTGCACCACTCACTCTTTTCCCCTCATCAATTCTATGATTCACCTCATCTTTCATAGACCCATCCGCTGACACGTCCACTCCCAAATATCTGAATACATTCACCTCCTCCATACTCTCTCCCTCCAATCTGATATTCAATCTTTCATCACCTAATCTTTTTGTTATCCTCATAACCTTATTCTTTCCTGTATTCACCTTTAATTTTCTTCTTTTGCACACCCTACCAAATTCATCCACCAATCTCTGCAACTTCTCTTCAGAATCTCCCAAGAGCACAGTGTCATCAGCAAAAAGCAACTGTGACAACTCCCACTTTGTGTTTCTTTATCTTTTAACTCCACGCCTCTTGCCAAAACCCTCGCATTTACTTCTCTTACAACCCCATCTATAAATATATTAAACAACCACGGTGACATCACACATCCTTGTCTAAGGCCTACTTTTACTGGGAAATAATTTCCCTCTTTCCTACATACTCTAACTTGAGCCTCACTATCCTTGTAAAAACTCTTCACTGCTTTCAGTAACCTACCTCCTACACCATACACTTGCAACATCTGCCACATTGCCCCCCTATCCACCCTGTCATACGCCTTTTCCAAATCCATAAATGCCACAAAGACCTCTTTAGCCTTATCTAAATACTGTTCACTTATATGTTTCACTGTAAACACCTGGTCCACACACCCCTACCTTTCTAAAGTCCTCCTTGTTCATCTGCTATCCTATTCTCCGTCTTACTCTTAATTCTTTCAATAATAACTCTACCATTACACTTTACCATGTATACTCAGCAGACTTATCCCCCTATAATTTTTGCACTCTCTTTTATCCCCTTTGCCTTTATACAAAGGAACTATGCATGCTCTCTGCCAATCCCTAGGTACCTTACCCTCTTCCATACATTTATTAAATAATTGCACCAACCACTCCAAAACTATATCCCACCTGCTTTTAACATTTCTATCTTTATCCCATCAATCCCGGCTGCCTTACCCCCTTTCATTTTACCTACTACCTCACGAACTTTCCCCACACTCACAACTGGCTCTTCTTCACTCCTACAAGATGTTATTCCTCCTTGTCCTATACACGAAATCACAGCTTCCCTATCTTCATCAACATTTAACAATTCCTCAAAATATTCCCTCCATCTTCCCAATACCTCTAACTCTCCATTTAATAACTCTCCTCTCCTATTTTTAACTGACAAATCCATTTGTTCTATAGGCTTTCTTAACTTGTTAATCTCACTCCAAAACTTTTTCTTATTTTCAACAAAATTTGTTGATAACATCTCACCCACTCTCTCATTTGCTCTCTTTTTACATTGCTTCACCACTCTCTTAACCTCTCTCTTTTTCTCCATATACTCTTCCCTCCTTGCATCACTTCTACTTTGTACAAACTTCTCATATGCTAACTTTTTCTCCCTTACTACTCTCTTTACATCATCATTCCACCAATCGCTCCTCTTCCCTCCCGCACCCACTTTCCTGTAACCACAAACTTCTGCTGAACACTCTAACACTACATTTTTAAACCTACCCCATACCTCTTCGACCCCATTGCCTATGCTCTCATTAGCCCATCTATCCTCCAATAGCTATTTATATCTTACCCTAACTGCCTCCTCTTTTAGTTTATAAACCTTCACCTCTCTCTTCCCTGATGCTTCTATTCTCCTTGTATCCCAATCCCATCTACCTTTTACTCTCAGTGTAGCTACAACTAGAAAGTGATCTGATATATCTGTGGCCCCTCTATAAACATGTACATCCTGAAGTCTACTCAACAGTCTTTTATCTACCAATACATAATCCAACAAACTACTGTCATTTTGCCCTACATCATATCTTCTATACTTATTTATCCTCTTTTTCTTAAAATATGTATTACCTATAACTAAACCCCTTTCTATACAAAGTTCAATCAAAGGGCTCCCATTATCATTTACACCTGGCACCTCAAACTTACCTACCACACCCTCTCTAAAAGTTTCTCCTACTTTAGCATTCAGGTCCCCTACCACAATTACTCTCTCACTTGGTTCAAAGGCTCCTATACATTCACTTAACATCTCCCAAAATCTCTCTCTCTCCTCTGCATTCCTCTCTTCTCCAGGTGCATACACGCTTATTATGACCCACTTCTCGCATCCAACCTTTACTTTAATCCACAATTCTTGACAAGTATTAAAAACCATTTGTCTCCATTCACTCCTATCAAACACGCTCATGCATGCCTGCTGGAAGTCCAAGCCCCTCGCACACCAGCTTTGTTTCGCTTAGGGCCAGGACATCCAACTTCTTTTCATGTTTCTTGTCATCCGCACTACATCCACGCACATTCAAGCATCCCAGTTTTATAAAGTTTTTCTTCTTCTCTTTTTTAGTAAATGTCTACAGGAGAAGGGGTTACTAGCCCATTGCTCCCGGCATTTTAGTCGCCTCATACGACACGTATGGCTTACGGAGGAAAGATTCTTTTCCACTTCCCCATGGACAATACAAGAAATAAAGAAGAACAAGAGCTATTTAGAAAACGGGGAAAAAACTAGATGTATATATATATGCATTTGCGTGTCTGTGAAGTGTGACCAAAGTGTAAGTAGGAGTAGCAAGATATCCCTGTTATCTAGCGTGTTTATGAGACAGAAAAAGAAACCATCAATCCTACCATCATGCAAAACAGTTACAGGTTTCTGTTTCATAGTCATCTGGCAGGACAGTAGTACTTCCCTGGGTGGTTGCTGTCTACCAACCTACTACCTACTCATCATCATATTCTTACTTTCAGATTAAAATTTATTAACATCTTGCCTCTTAGCAATCTTAAGGAGTCCTAAGGCAGTTGCAATATCACACAAGGTGTCCTAGGGCAGTTGCAATATCACACAAGGTGTCCTAGGGCAGTTGCAATATCACAATGGAAGTTTTACAATCAATAATACAACACTAACACAGGGGCCAGCAAACAACTGGGGAAAATTATCCCAAATGGGGTAAAAATGAAAATCTCAGGGGTAATGAAGGCTCAATAAACATATATAAAAATTTCACCTGACGATCTGTTGGAGTGTGAGCAGGGTAATATTTAGTGAAGGGATTCAGGGAAACCGGTTATTTTCATATAGTCGGACTTGAGTCCTGGAAATGGGAAGTAAAATGCTTGCACTTTAAAGGAGGGGTTTGGGATATTGGCAGTTTGGAGGGATATGTTGTGTATCTCTATACGTATATGCTTCTAAACTGTTGTATTCTGAGCACCTCTGCAAAAGCAGTGATAATGTGTGAGTGTGGTGAAAGTGTTGAATGATGATGAAAGTATTTTCTTTTTGGGGATTTTCTTTCCTTTTTTTTGGGTCACCCTGCCTCGGTGGGAGACGACCGACTTGTTTAAAAAAGAAAAAAAAAAAAAAAATCACAAAAATTTATTAAACAAACAATGCAAATTACAAGTTATATTTTTCAATCAAATAATTTGTAGTTTCTTAATAAAATAAAAAATCTCATTTGCAGTTATGATTTCTTAAGTTGGCAATGATGTAAAACAGGTAAGGACTGCAGTGGCTGGCAACACCGCAAGTGTCAACAGTGACTTGGGAGCTGGCACAACAACTGCATATCCCACTGTTGACACACCATCACCTAACTTTTGGCCTAGTGTCCTATCTCACTATCAATGACTTTCTGCTTGCAGTCAATAGAAGTTCATTTTTTATATCACCTGGATTAATCCTTTCACTGTCAGTCCCATATTATGGCTTTCGAGTCAGTGTTGGTCCCGTAATACTACGCCAAAATTCTAGCAGCTTCATATCTTGCGGGAGAAATCTGGCAGGCCTACATATGAGATAATGGGTCTGAGTGGTCAGTGAACACAGTATAAAAAAAATCCTGCAGCACACAATGCATGAGAAAAAAAACTCACTGTTTTTGGTTTAAAACAGCAAATTTGCACTGTATTTTCATATGGTATTTATGGTTGTATTCTCGTTCCCTTGGTTTCATTTGATAAAAAGGAAGATATATTACAGAAAGACAGATGATTTTCAATGCTTTACAGATTGAGAGTACCTTGAAATGGAACTCAAATTAGTGGAAATATTCGATTTTTGCTGATGTTCAAGAGTAAACAAGAGGGGCCTGGAGACATGACTAATGAAGAGGAAAAATGTTATTTTTGTGCTTGGAATGTTTGCATTGTTAATTCTTCTTTGAATTGTGTATGAAATTGGCCAAATTACCAATTTCTGATCACTTTATTGGTTAGTTGAAATCTGTAAATTGTTGGTCTTGTACTTAATCGATAGAACAAAAGGAGTTCTAGCAAAATAGCTATGAGTTTGGTTGAATGGAACAATGGAATGGGCGAAAATAGGGCTCAAAGTGAGCGAAATTGTGGATGCATAAATATCACCAAGACTGCCAACTTTGTGAGAGCATAATTCTGAAGTTTTCCGTCAAATTTCATACTTTTGGATTAAATACCATTGAAAAAAGATTATCATTTCCTGAGAATTTTTTTTTTTAAATTCTTTGACACAGCAAGTTTGTGAGCCATGGTCTCAACTTTCAATGAGCAAGGTAAGGTAGTGTTTTGTGATTTGTCATAACAATTAGGAGTGTACAATGTAATATTTATATTTATATTTTAGTTTTTTATCAGAATATATGATTCCATTTAGAGATATTTTAGTACTCAAATAATAATATAAATGTTTGGTGCCTTTCTTGCCATTTGCAACTCGCTTATCTTTGCGAACAAGGATTTTCCACTCTCATTACAAAAATAGGTTGAACGTCAAAGACAGTATACAAATTGCTCTGACATCAAAAAGTCCTAATCAGTATCGAAGATGAAATCATTGCTCCAGAACCTGAAGCGAAAATGTTTTCAATGATATTCTTTAGTTCCTTAATGAGATTTTTATTAAATTTGTCTGTTGCTATTAATTTCATGCAGTTCATTTTTCATTTTATTATTTTGTTAATTTTGGGTTTTATTTTTAAATTTGCTTTATCACATATAATACATACTTTTCAGTTTGTATAACTATTCTCCATACAAATGAATTCAATAAACTATTTTGAATTTGAACGCTCCTTGTGTTTTTCTGGACTGCGGACTTTCAAGTCTGGCGGGTAATTCCTCTGAACACAAATTTGTTTTGGGGTAATACCCAAAAAAGTTTGCCGCCCCCTGAGCTAACAAAACACCAAAGATTTAGCTTCAAATTATACTTTTAAGTGAAATTTTGATAAATAGCATTGGCTAACAGACTTCATTAATAACAATCACACACAAATAACGGATTAACTAATTAATAGCAATATCTAAAGATTACAATATAATCTGACTTTTTCCAAATGAGAGTAGCTCAAACTCAATAAAGAATAGTATCAAAAACTATGCAGGGGGGGGGGGGGACTGGAGGTGGAAAGAGCAATACCCAAAGGGGTTGAGGTACCTGGAAGGCAATAAAGTATGACAAAAGAAAAAAAAATCAGATCCAATATCATGGGTCATGAGCCCTTCACCAAAATGAATTAATGCCTTGAGGGGTCCCTTGATGGAAGAAACATGATAAATTATAACAAGACCAGGAATTGCCCATATTGTAGAGGGAACACTGTGAGAACCTACAATTTATTAACCAGAGAGAACACTGAGAACCTACAATTTATTCATCACAGGGAACACTGGGAGAACCTACAATTTATTCAGCAGAGGGAACAGTGGGAGAGCCTGCAATTTATTCAGCAGAGGGAAAACTGCAAGAACCTACTATTTATTAAACAGAGGGAACACTGGGAGAACCTACAATTTATTCATCACATAGAACACTGGGAGAACCTACAATTTATTCAGCAGAGGGAACACTGGGAATACCCACTGGTTCAATCATCAATTTATGAATGCATCCATTACCCAGACCCATTATCTCATATGTAGACAAAAACTTACCCATTGCCATATATTTGAAGGAACTATAATTATGACTTAGGTTAATGCAAGCCACACTGACCTCAGTGACCCAGGTCTGTGAAACAGACAGTGAAAATTTTAAGTATCTATGGTATATACTAGTATCTACCATGAACCTCAATAATTCAACAACACCACTTAAAGAACAAGTCTTACCTTGCACACATTACTAGTTGTTGTTCCTTCCTGAGAGTCCACACATTCCATCTGCAAAAATTTGTCTGTTAATAAACACTTAGTGACTAGAAAAATAATAATCATGTTCTTACTTCAGATTAAAATTCATTAACATATTGCCTCTTGGCAATCTTAAGGTGTCCTAAAGCAATTGCAATATCATCACACAAGGTGTCCTAAGGCAGTTACTATATCACAAAAGGTGCCCTAAGGCAGTTGCAATATCACAAAAGGTGTCCTTCTCGACATACGACCATGTTTTTAATGCCAAATTTATGGGAAATAAAAAACTGTTTATTTTACGAAGTGTTTATCCTAAACCTTACAGTATAAAATGCAGTACTAACAACATAAAAAATAAAGTAAAAAATGAAATACCAAAATAAAACAATAAAATAAAATCATTAAAAAAATGCTATGTTGATATTCAGTAGTAAGGTTCGACTTACGTCTATTTTGACTTACGACGGGTTGGTCGGAACCAAGCTTGGTCGTAAGTCGGATGGTACCTGTATATCCCTACCTCACCAATGGTATTTGTGCCTGGGGATCAACTACAGCCAAGCACCTTAAACCTTTAATAACCCAGAAAAAGGCTGCTGTGCTGATGATTACCAGCTCCTGTGCCAGACAGGACACCCCACCACTTTACAAAAGCCTGAACCTACTAAATATACGCGACATACATTTATATTACTTTGACTACAATATATACAGAACATTAAACTCCAATATAAACCCTCCGCTTAAACTTCTCCTTTTTAAACTCCTTTACAGCTACAACAGAACGCAGTCACACAACAAGGCACAAGGGACCCCTTCGACATCCCTCTTTTTTGTCTCTCACTATACAAAATGCAGTTAAATTTAAAATGTAAAAGATCGGGAAATTTTCCACTGCCTGAACTGGTAAAAGATTCCCCTGACAGCATACAAATTTAGGGTTATGCTTAAAAATCATCTCATCTCTCAATACTACCCAAAACCCAAACCCAAAAAACAACTTCTAATCAGTTTGAAGCAACTCTCCCAAATATTATACTATATGACCTCTAGTCTATTAAAACATCTGCCAATCCATGAAATATTACTGTTGGAACCATTTATTGTAATACTGTTTTTATTATGTGAAAACTTCAAGATTATTATTTTATAAACCTCCACCTTGACTCCCTCACATCAGTACCCTTTATTTTGAAAGGCCCATAAATTTAATGGACTCAAAGCATACTTTTTGAACATGTTTTCCTTCTCCCACTGTGCATCTGGGTTCCTGTTTTTTAGTTCTGCCCAAATCACAAGCCTTCAGTAAGTTGCCCCAATTAAGTGCAGTGGCATCTCCTCAATTCAATTGGTTGAGAGACAAAAATGTAAACTTTTGAGCTTGGCACATCCAGAGCAGTTTTTTTTTTTAGAGTTACATCATATACTCAGGGATTTCACCCAATTCATGTCGGCAAGCACTGGTTTTGTGTCTAGTGCAAAAAATAAATATTTAAGACATATTTTGATACATAACTGAAGTCTGTGGGGAAGCATAATACAAATGTACCACTCAATTGAAAAAAAACTGCAAGGTAAAAGGCCAATAAATTTAAGGGCCTGACCTGCAAGGTCAAAGTAGCAATTTCACTAAATAAATATTTATATTAATTTTTTTTAATGATATATGAATTCAGTGGTGGTTTGGGTGTATAATGGGAATTTTTATTTTCCTTACAAAGCAATGAAAAATTTTTTAATTGCTGCCCCCAAACAGAAATCCAAATGTCTGTGTTTCTGGGAAAGTGACTTCATAACCAGAGTCAGCTGACCTAGAATTGCTTGAGAGTAGTGGTGAATACTTTTCACCAGATGCACATGTGTCAAGTGATGATGAGGAAAAAGACGGGCCATCCAAAGAAGCCTAAATTAGTAAGGGAAAGAAAGGTATTAGAATCGAGGAATACTCTGATGAAGATCTTTATGATGAACTTGCTCTTCAAGCTCATACAATGGAAACATCTATGCATCATCAAGAAGGGGAAAAAACTGCTTCACAGCCTTTCATTCTAGGAAAAAGTCATCGAGAATGATTGTTCTTTCTCAAGAAATTCGTGAAAAGGGAACTGCAAGTTTTATCCCTATGCAAAGTGTCCATGTTGTTCTTTGACTCATCTTATATTTTTTGTAGGTCTTAAAAATGTTTGGAAACAAGTTCCATCTATGCTTTTTATATTGTCCATTTGCCTAATTAATTAGAAAAATATTTATTTAACGTTTCATTAACATTTACAACTCTGCAACATTTGAAATTTGGCACCCCTTACCGAGCGGGCCCATAAATTTATTGGCTTCAAGTTTTCCAACTGAACAAAAACTTATTTTTAGAAATCTATTTATATAGGCTCATTTTGCTTACATAAGATACTCTATTCGCCTGTAGTGAAGACATTTCGAATTTCACCTTTTCCTAGATTTATTTTATTTTTGGTGTACAGTGGACCCCCGCATAACGATTACCTCCGAATGCGACCAATTATGTAAGTGTATTTATGTAAGTGCGTTTGTACGTGTATGTTTGGGGGTCTGAAATGGACTAATCTACTTCACAATATTCCTTATGGGAAAAAATTCGGTCAGTACTGGCACCTGAACATACTACTGGAATGAAAAAAGTTCGTTAACCGGGGGTCCACTGTACTTTTAGAGGTGCATATATAGTTTAATGTGACAAAGTTTCAGTATGATTGGCCAACAAACAACATAGAAAAAAAAATATTAACATAATTTTGATATATGGCAGTATCCCGATAAATTGGCACTACGAGTGGCACTTCCGACATTCCCAACTGTTAGAATACAACTAGCACGAATCTTTTACGTTGCCATTTCATCTAATATATCTTATTATCATGATAAAAAAAAATACATTTGACAGAATTTTTGGCATTCACCAAAATATCTGCCTTTTACCCCCCACAAAATCAAAAATATTTGAGATATTCCAAAAAATCCATCATTAAAATTTAAAACACACTGTTTTATATTGTCTGTGAAAATCATTTCAATACAATCATTAATAATGGTGCTGGTTAGCGAAATAAGTGAATAAGTTATTTCCGAGATATAGGCCTAGAACGCCGGCAGGCCTACCGTCAAAAAAAAAAATTACATTTTTTTGCGAAAATCGTGTTTGTTTCGGTGTATTTCTTAGTAAACTGATGTTCTAGTGCAGTTATCCTCTTCAAAACATCGTTTTCTCTCACTCACAGACCAAACAATACAACATGGAGACGAGGAGTAACTTTTTTATATCGAGATATTGCTGGTGGACTCTCGCTATATTATGGCCTATTTTATTCAGTCTAGAGTATATAACATGTTTCTTTATTATTTACAGTGATTATTTTATCATATTAGATCAATTCTGATAGATAAATAAGCCGTATAGTTAATATATAAGCTGATATAAGCGTAATAATGAAGTGATTTCACCTGGCACTCTCTGGAGAGGGATCACTGCCGAGTGTACCTAGGTGCTTCCCGATAGGCTAGACGTCTATTGATAAGCTCCACCTACTCTTATATGATGCCAAATAATCAATTATATTAGAAAGAATAATGCAAAGAAAAAGCGATAAAAAACAAGGAAAAAATTCCAAAAAATACATGGGTTGAGAACAGACGCACTACCTACATCGCCGCCACCATACCTGATATAAATGACTATAATTTCTTGTAGAAACGTTGTAGAACATTGATTCTTGTACCATTGTGTTGCCAAAGAGTTAAGCTATTTTTCTATATGAATAACTCATTTTCATAAATTTTCGAATTTTTCTTGAGAGCGCTGAAAAAAAATGTTCACACATCCCCCCTTAACCACTCATCTTGTCTAGACTTAAGTAGTTATTATGTACTAGGATAAGTCTGCTCAAAATGCCTTGGTATGATAGTTTCTTTCTTTATACTTAACAAATTAAAACTGAAAATACACATTGTAATCTTGCAAAGAAAAAAAATCTTTGTCTTTTTAACACAGGAAAAACTACAATTTATTCATGAGGGAACACTTTGAAAACCTACAATTTATTCTTCAGCAGGAATATTAGAAGAACCAAGTTCAATCTTCAATATTGATGGAATACTGGGACAACCTACTGGTTCATTAATTAGTGGATACTGTGCACACTTATTTCCCAAACTTATTATCTCAAGTGTAGGCCAAAATTTACCCATTGCAGCATATGTAAGGGAACTATAATTATGACTTAGGTCAATGCAAGCCACACTGGCCTCAATGACCCAGGTCTGTGCAACAGACAGTGAAAGAGTTTAGTATCTATATCATGTACAACCATTTATCATGAACCTCAATGATTCAACAACACTTAAAAGAGCTCCTCATACCTTGAACACATTGCTAGTTACTGTTGCTTCCTCAGAGTTCCACACATTCCATCTGCAAGAACATTTATCTGTTAATCAACACTTCATGACGACAAAAATAATCATATTCTTACTTTCAGATTAAAATTCATTAACATTTTGCATCTTGGCAATCTTAAGGTGTCCTAAGGCAGTTGCATTATCATCACACAAGGTGCCCTAAGGCAGCTGCCATATAAAACAAGGTGTCCTACGGCAGCTGCAATATCATCATACAATGTGTCCCAAGGCAGCTGCAATATCCTTACATAAAATGTAAGCTTTACAATCAGTAATACAGCACTTTATACAAATACCAAAGATTTAGTTTCAAATTATTCCTGTAAGTGAAATTTTAATAGCAGTAGATAACTAAATTAATAAACAGTAATCACACACTAACAGATGTAAATATTAATAACGTCTGAGGGTAGATCAAATTCCATGGATCAAGAGCCTTTAACCAGTATCAATACACACTGTGGGGGTGATGAGTTGGAAAGAGCTAAACCCAAAGGGCCCATGATTCTTATAAGACAATACTCTATGATACAAGCAAAGGAAGATCAGACTGAACATCATGGATCAATAGCTTATCATTAACCCTTTCAGGGTCCAAG